TCTGTGAGAGTAAAGAAAGAAAAAAAGAAATCAGCTTGAGGCAGAATGGAATGGAAAATTTTGGCCCAAAAAGTTGAAGTTTGGCAAAGTTTTATAAGCAACTAAAAATACCTTTTGTTTAATGGAGGTGAAGTAGCAAACATGTAGCTAATGGTTTAAATGAGATCATGCCAGTTATTTACTGGATTTTTTATTTATTGGAATTTTGAAATTTCATATTTATTGTTTGCATGTTCAAAATGTCACTGGATCAAAATGTATTTTTTTGTTTTGTTTTTTAAAGAAATTTTAATTTGCTTTCGTTTGGAGAGGAAGCTGAAGAGGAAGAAGTGGAAGTCAACAGAGTTAGTCAGGTACAGTTCCCAATTACTAGTCTCTCTCTCCATCTCCTGTTCTTATTGTTTTGCTTTTGGCAGCATTGTTTTATAGTGATAGTCTATAAGTTTGAAACCTTGAAAGTTGTTCATTTTGTAGTTTTTCTAGATTTGATCAATAACAATTTAGGAGTAGGGAGGAGTTGCATACTTAGTTTGCAGCATTCTATTGTCAGAAGTTGCAGTCTTTTAAATTAAATTATTTTTTTGTCTTGTGTAATTTTGAATGATTTTAGTTTTCTCACTTTTATAATTGTTTTGTTTTTTCTTTAAACACAGTATTGTTATACTTCATAGCATATTAGTGATTCTGCCATTCAAAGCCCATATAGTGTGTGTGTGTGTGTGTGTGTGTGTGTGTGAACTGTGTTAAAAGAAAGTTGTTTAGCTTTCAAAAAGTTGTTTAGCTTGCAAAATGAAAAATTCAAAAGTTAGGAAATGCCAGATTTATGGTTGTCTATTTAACCGCAATTCTATCCCTTTGTGCATCTATCCTGTGCACTGAATGAGGCAGGGAGCCTATGTTAAAAACAGTATGTGATCATGTAATTAAAGGCTATATCATGATGAATATGCAGAAGTAGGCAGAATTAAGGTTACACTGGTACCATAATTCAGGTTTCTCCTGACTTTCAAGTGTTTTAGGTGGTAAAGATTATGAAGAAAAAAAAAAGTTTTGTGTCACTGTAACTGTCCATTATGATGTCTAGTTGCTTGGATACACTGATCTGTTGGCTTTGTGCCAGGGAGGGCAAAGGGTCAGAAGGGACATTATCCAAAAAGAGCAGCATATTTCTGAAAACCTCGGGTAATATTTTCAAATATGGATAGCTAAATTAACCATTGCCTCAAGTTCCTCTCCTACATCCTCCTCCACCTCCACCAATCTAGCTTCCACCCTTTTTGCTCATCTAAAACTGCTCTCATCAGGATCACTAATGATCTCTTCTCGGCCAAATCTCAGGGCCTCTACTACATCTTCATCCTTTGACTTCTCTGTGTTTTCATGTTGCTGATCATAGCCTTAATCACAAACGCCTACCCTCCCTTGGGTTTTTCATAGAATCATAGAATATCAGGATTGGAAGGGACCTCAGGAGGTCATCTAGTCCAACTCCCTGCTCAAAGTAGGACCAATCCCCAGACAGATTTTTACCCCAGTTCCCTAAATGGCCCCCTCAAGGATTGAACTCACAACCCTGGGTTTAGCAGGCCAATGCTCAAACCACTGAGCTATCGCTCCCCCCCATTTTCAATACTGTCTTCACTGGTTTTCCTCTTACCTCTCTGGTTCGTCCTTTTGCATCTTTTGGCAAGTCCCCATCCTTCTTTCTGCTCCTCTGAGGATGGTATTCCTTAGGGTTATGATCTAAGTACTTTCCTCTTCTCTCTTTTTGGTGGTTCTTACCACTTACACAAACTCAGCTATCATCTCTATATTGACAACTCACACATCTACTTTTACGTTCCTGACCCATGTTTTTCCATTTCATCTTGCATCTCAGATTGTCGCTTTGACACCTCCACCTGGATGACTTGCCATCAGTTTAAGCTTAAAATGTTCCAAACTGATCTCCTCGTTCTTCCCAAATTCTCCCTGATTTCCCCCTCATTGTCACTATTTTCAACATCTTCATCCTTTTCTCCACTCAGGGCTGAAGCCTGATGACTGTCTTTAATGACTACTACTCCTTCATCGTATGTTTTCAGATTGACTGAGCTGGACTACATCTAGCGAGAAGGAATGAGAGTTGCACTAATCAGCATTCTTCTTTATTTGTTGTAAAAGAGGGAAAACTCCACATGTAGACTTGGTTGCCTACCTATTAAATAGGTGATTTTCTCTAGCTCTGCATCCCCATAGCCCTAGAAATGGGCATTCTTTCACTTTTGGTAGTTCGGCCTAGCCACATAACTTTCTTTCTCTGCCCCTGTGTCTTGGCCGAATCATGGGCGACCAGACCTAGTAGTCAGAGCCAGAGTCTGCGGTCATGAGATGGAAGTCAAGTATAGGCTGGGTCCAGATACGGGGCGGGAAATGGGGCAGGAGCAGGAGACAAACTGGCGATCAGAACCACAAGTCAGGAACAAGAGTTAGGCTGGGTTGGGGTACCAGGGGGTAGGAGACAGGAGACAAAATGAAGATCAGAACCATGAGTCAGATGCAAGGAATCATGCTAGGTGAGGATGCCAGGAAATCAAGCTCGGGGAGCAGAAAGCACAAAGCACACAGTCTAGAGCATGGTGGAACCCTGTTGTTCGGATAGCTTCCTGTTCCTGCTGCTTGCTTAAGTAGGGCAGCCAGTGCTCCTGCACTCCGCCAATAGGACCTCATGGGCGGAGCGTCAAATTGGGGCTGAGCTTCACGGGTCCCTGGTAAGTGATTGTTAGCCGTCTGCCAGGTGGCGAGTTCGAGCGTGGCCACTCCCATGAACCCAGCAGACCCAGGTTTGAGACCTGTGGTTCATGACATTCTGCTAGCTGGAGCTCTTAAGAAAAGAGAGGTCAGAGCTGAGCATAGCAGTATGTCAGGTTCTAAGATGCTGCATGCAGATGTAGGGCTATTCTGCTAACTGATTTGGTAGCCAGATAGGGTGGGTCCTGTTGGCTTCAACTCAAGAGAATAAAAAGGTAGATAGTCGAAGGGACTGTTTTGTATTAATTTTGATGGAATATATAGGCCCAGAGAGTCAAGATGTTAACGTGACCCTGTCACCGTGTATACTACCAAACCATTAAACGTGGCTTGGGGTTTTCAGTACTGAGACCTCAGTCTGCTTAGTACCATGGCAAGCACACTAGAAAATTCATGCCAAAGTTTGAAAGTTTATTGATCAGGATACGTAAGAGAAGAAGAATCAGAAAAAGTCATCAGTATCTTGGAATTGAAATTGAATGCTTATGCAGAACAAACTTAATCAAAACCTGTTTAAGTAATCTTTTAAGAGAGAGGCTATCAGTTTGGATTTCATTTTGTCAGGCAATCTTTCTTGGTGGGGAAGAAAGGATTAGTTCTGTTGTTTGCTTCTGAGGTGTGAATGTCAGTCATCTTCTCTGCCTTTGCCAAAACAGATACAAGGAGAAAAAAGAGAGAGGAGAATAAAGATGAGGGAAATATGGGTTTTATTGATGTTGTCAGGATACCAACCATCTGGTCAGGCAAGGAGGGATGCTCTGACCTGGCACTACAACAGTTGTTCCTGTGGCCTCAGGCTCACTTCCCCGGTCTGGGATGTCATCTGGCTTGTCTGGTCAGATCCATCTCCTTACAGGTCTTTCTCAGGCTGGTCAGTGCTGGATGGGCAGTCTCATCTCATTGTGCTGGTACTGTGTGGTACAGTAGGTTTCATGATTGTGTGAAAAGCTGAGAGAGAGAAGATAGGAGGAAAATAGTGGGGGATGGACATAGAAAGGGAGGACAGAGCAGGGTTTTGGAGGTCTCAGGCTGGAGTTTTAACTAGTCTACTCATGATGGCCAGTTGTCCCAACTAGCACCCTGAGGTCTGGGTACCGCAGTGATGTGATGATGCATGAATGAAAGAGAGTCTTTTTTATGAAGGGGAGGCCTGCCATCTTTTTCTTCTCTTCTAGGGATTCCTCAGACTGTCCATTCCCCGTTTCGCCACCAAATCTCTTTTTGTAAGGACTCTGAAAAGTGGGTGATGGGCAAAATAGCCCATCCTCTAATTATTTCGTTCCCAGTTAGGCCTAATTTCCAACACATCAATTTTGGTCCACTGATTTCCAGTCCCATGCTCCTTTTGCTTACCAGGCATGATCTCCTGGTTATATCCATCCGGTTATATCAGTAGGCGTTTTTGTTTGGACTAATTCAATCTTTTTGTTCCTTTGCCTATGAACATTTATTTGTTATAGGCGATTGGAACATTTTATTAATTTTTATTCACTTTCCAACAGTTGAGCCCATATTTGGAGTGGGCCTGTCAGGCCCCAGTTATTACAATAGGACTGTGGTGAGGCAGACAGTTGAGAAACCATCACTAGAAGATAGAGAAGATGCTCTCCTCCCCCAAAACTGCCAACTCGGAAGGTGGTTCAGAAAAGTGGAGTAAACACTCTGCTCATTCACATTAGCTCTCCTGGTCACCTCATGATGACTCAGTAGGCCTTTGTCTTCTAAACTGCGGACTCTCTTCCTAGACTACAGCATGTCTGTTGGCCTGGCTCTTGAACACATTAAGAAGGGACTTGTTGGAACAAATAATTTTTCACATAGCTAAATGGCGCTAAAAGTCTGACTTCCACATCATACAAAGTTGAGGGCATCTACAGGGTTTAATTCGGGATAAAAAGTCAAATCTCTAGATGTGACCTTTCTGACATTCTTTCCCCATTCAGGATGGGATCAGTGGCACCTTCCTGAGGCTTCAAGCACTTGATATTGAGTCCTTAAAGTACTACATTACAGAAACATATGCTGAATAAAGGCTCCACTGTCTGTCAAGCCTTAGTTCACATTCACCCTGTCTCTTCGGTTGAGAAGGGAATTCTTTCCTACTAGAACCTTTGTATATAAGGACCTGGGCGTGTTGTCGGATCTTTAGATTTGTTCTGTCAGGTTCTATGGATACTACCTTCAGTACATTGTTCCTGCATGCTACACTCTGAGTTGTTAAATCTCTGTTTTTCTAGGTATTTACTGTCTGTCTATTGTAGTGATGGATATTGCTGTTATAAGTGGCACCTGTCTGAATTGGCATGGAGAGATGACAGACTTTCTTACCTGTTTGGTTACCCGAGTTTGTCTACACCAGCTAGGGCATCCCACTTTTCTATTGTATTGTGTTGGTGGCAGTGGGACTGTTTCTCTGAAACCGTTATGATCTAATTTTTTAGATTTATTAGCATTTTTAGTGCTTAAAGAGCTATTAAATTTCTAGAATAAACCAGCCAGTCCCCTTTATAGGAAGAGTGATGTCACAGTAACTCCCTTTTTGCCTCTCTCTCTTATTTGGGCTAAAATTAACAGGAAAAAAATTACAATTTTTTCCCAGACTCACCTCTCTTCACTTCCCACTCTCCTAAATATGGTTGTGTGTAACTTTTATTTTATTTATTTATTTTTTTTATATAGAGCATGAAGGGAAAAAGTAAAAGTAGTCATGACTTGCTGAAGGATGATCCACATCTAAGCTCAGTTCCTGCTGTTAAAAGGTGAATACAGTAGTTCTAATCTACAGAACTGCTTCAGTTTCAATATGTTAGATCTCATTGGCACTATGCATTTTCATTTTATCCATTGCTTTTTCTGAGTAACAGTTCTCTCCACACAGGGCTTCCTGAATAAAACTATTTTGTCATTAAATTCAAGTCATTGTTGGTGTGCCAAAATGTTTCTTTCCCAGTTCTCTCTCATCCTGTGTCTGGTGATGGGAACCTTTTTATTGGTTTGGAGCACCTCAGAAAATCTTGGCCTTTGGGATTCCTTTAAAGAAATTTCACTGAATGCTGATAATACATTAAATATTCATAATATTATACATGTTTAATTTTAGAAAACTGGATATTGGGAGATTATATATGATTAGTAAAAATATCTACTAATGCCTGAATTATGCCAGATTGCCCATCAATCAATAATACATTTATTTATTTGTAGATGAATGGTAAAGATAGGTTGAGACTAAAGAGTTTAGGAATAGGGGGTAATAGAGGAGGGAAAGAAAATAGATAAGAATCACAGTAACAACAACAAAAGCAGGAGAAAGCAGTCAGGTTGTCGCTGTTCTCCTCTAAATCCCAATAAATCCCATAAAATGTGCAATTAGAGAGAAAGCTGCCCCAGATGCCAACTACTTACACTGCAAGTCCAGGAATGGCTTACACGTAGATCATAGATGTCCATCTTACTAGTATGAATAAAGGAAGTTTGGGTTTTTTGTTTTTACATTTCATTCTAGTATATCCACTAGTCCAAAGATCAACAGATGGCATAGTTTTGCTCTTCTATGTTTTCAGTATAATTCTTTTGAATTCTTGCTTTCAGGAGCTACCTCTTTTCATGCTTATTCAAATTAAGTGTAGGTGAGGTATCATGGTACTTTGTCTTTTTCCAAATTGGTCTCTAGGGCCACCATAATTTCTCTAAGGGGTTATACCCACACCATTTTCTCTCCACTTACCAGTTGTGCTCTTCACTTGGGCCAGAATTGCTTGGTTTAAGAGCACAAAGTGGTCCACCAGATTCCCAGAAAATGTATACGTTGCTGTTTGGTTTGGAGGTCTTGAAATGTTCTGTAGCAGAGTATGGCAGTTCCCCCTTGGCTCCTGCCTCTGCTAAGTCCACAAAGGTACTCTGAGACCCTGGGGTTAGTATCCACTGGTGCCAGTTTATTCACAGGCTTGTTCCCACCACTGTTTCACCATGTACAGTTGGCCCTTCACCATCTGCAGGCAGGAGGGAGGGAAGAGCTACCTCCCTGTTTCCACTCCTTTCCTTCTGCTCTTCCCCTAGCTTCCGTCCCCTGAGGCTTTTATACAGCCGCAGGCTAATTAGGCAGCAGCTGTCTCTGATTCCCTGATTAGGGCTAGATTATCTCCAGCCAGCTCTAATTTATTCCCCTAAATAGGAGCTGGCATGACAGAGGGCTGAATCAGCAACCCTTTGCCCAGCACCCTGTCACAGTGTTCACTAACTGAATTTACCCCTTACATGGTAGCATTGTGTTTTCTTGCTGGTCTGTCTCACATTTTTCAAACTCTTCTAGCTAGTGGGTGTGACAATCAAATGGTGGGAAAATATAATCGACTGACATGATAGTGATGATCATGGTGAAAATGGCTAGATTGGGAGAGTTCTGGCATAGTTTTAAATAAATAACCTAAGTGAATTCACTGCTGTACTGTTTTTAAATGCTACTCTTATCAACAGATTCAGAGTGCTTTAGAGAAGGAACAATCATCTTATATGGATTGTCTCTCTTTTTTTCCCCCTCAGTGAAAAAGCAAATGAAGTGAGGGATTCAGACGAGGTGAGTGGCACTTCTTCTGCAAACAGAAAGTTTTGATTCATTGTAGATACTCATTCTGTATTTCATGTGAATTATTGTTCTTAAGGGTGAGGTAATACTCTAAAGATACAGTTTCCACTAGGATTTTGACAGTGGGTCTCAGATTCCCAGCAAAAAAACGAATGGAACTCTCAAAGCTTTTAAGTTTTGGCCAGTATGAGCCATCTCAGCAGGGTAGAGTGTGACCCTGACCTGCCACACACCACCTCCCACATTCTGCATAGATTACTGCCTGAACATTTCTGACAGTAACTTAGGTAGTGGCAGACAACGCTCCTCCAAAGTTATAAACCAATCAAGAAGAAAAAAAATTCCTCTGAAAAAAATTATGTAATGGAACAAATACCACAAATGAAAAATCTCCAGACACTGAGGGGAGGCATATAAGTGTGTGAGAATCTGAATGGAAAGATGTATTTATAGAAGAAGAATTTCAAGTAACTTTTCCTTTGCTAAAAATGCCATCTATCATGGCTACAGCTACACTGCATCTATCAGGATTCTCACTTCTGAGAGTCAGAAACTTGGGGGATGTCCTTAAGGTAAACAAACTGCAATGAACAGTAATAATACAGTCCAGAGCCAACCATGGAACATAGAGGTTTTTTTTAACTACAAAAAAGCTCCTTCCTACATTTACTATGGAAAATAAAACTTTTGGGTTGAAGTGTGGCTTTGCTTGAGTCTTTGAGCAAGGGCAGCATATTGTTGCACTGTCCCTAGAGCAAATTGTGACTTTGAGGCTCCAGGCAGGGAAAAACCATGTGCCAGGTATAGGCCTGGTAGAGTATAATTGCCCCCAACATAGTAATGATAGCAATGCCCAGAAAATTGTTAACAAAAGGAACAAAAAGTTGGGAGCACTTTCCAAGGCTTTTACCTCACTCCAAATAGAACCCCCAGGACTGTATGATGACATGACATGTTTATGAAGGTGTTCCTGGGATGGGCATGCATGTATGTGGAGAATGTTGGCAGGATAGCAGGCTCATTAAGGTGGACTTCCAACATAATTATGGGGAGGAATCTTGAATTAGTTTGAAACATCACTATATTTCTGTAAATGTATTCTAAGATGGGTCAGTCACTTGGGCCTGTGTCTTAGTCACTCTTCAAACCAAAGCCACAGCCACTAGGAAAATGACATCGAATTTAAGAAACTTAAGTTCAGAGGAATCAGGTAGTTCAAAAGGAGCTTTTATCAGCTTTGTCAGGATCACAGGTTTAATATCCCATGACACATAGGTTTTTTAATGGGAGCTTTGAAAAATGTCAAGCCCTCCGTGAAACTGAGAAGAGGCTACAGAGACACTCATTCTTTTTTGGTCACATGATCTGCATGGAGTTATCTTTTAAGCTGGTCTTAAAATAGAGAGTTGAGACATCAAAGTGAGAAATCCTGTTAGAGAGGTATCTCCAGAGAAGCAGAATTTCAGGTACATAATTTTCATTACCACATATAATATTTATAAAAAGTAGATGTTAAAATTAATTGTTTATATTTGCAACATGCCAGTGTGACACTTGCATCACAGATATGTCTTTTCATGCTGTGCAAAGAAGCACTGTGGATAGGAAATATTTCACTAGTACAGAGTTGCTACATTTGTCAGTGGTGACTGACAGCCTTCAGGTTAGCAATGCTATATTTATATTTATGTTTATGTACATATACTTCTTTTATTTAATTTTTTATTTTTCCCTACTCCTCTTTCTCTGTTGTTAATTTATCCACCAATAAATTGTGAAACAGCTAGGCCTGCATTTAAATATTGAATCCCAAAATTGTGATTTTTCTAGGAGGAAAAGACTTTCACTCCTATTAAGTTAAAGTCTAACCTTTCTCACATGTTTTGTATCATAAATGTTATTCAAAATTGAACTACCATGTATCAACATATAAAAAGTATCTAGCTGAAGGATGGGAACTGCTCCTGTGTATGCATGGCTAACTGTATGATTGATGTTTCCTTACGTTTTTAGTTACAACTTTTTTGCTAGCTTTGCATATTTTAAATTATTTTTGAGTTGCGACTTTTGTAGTCTGGTTGAGATCATGTCTGTGGCCTGACCCATGATGTCAAGTGTCTCAAAATATTTGGACCTGCTGACTGACAGGCTATATATTTTTGGATCCATGGACTTTCTAAACCCAAAATTACTGGAATCGGAGATACTTTATTTGCATACAAGTGAACTAATCAAATCCCATTGGGCGATGCAGTGATTTCAGAAGGGGAGTGTCCTATTCTGATCACCTAAGAACACCCGAGGAGGTCTCCCAAAATGGGGAAGAAACTAGCTAGGTCACCATCTTCATAAATAAAAGAGAAAGAGGAAGCCATTGCTTATCTGATTCCTTGCTTTGGGCTGCTGCAAGGCTTTTAGTCTCTGGCTATGGAATGCACCATGCCTGACAAAGGCTTGTGCTTCCTCCATCTGGCCATCGGGGGGATGAGTCCAGTAGTGTGCAACATCAAAGAATTGACATCTACAAGCAAGTAACTTCTAGTCATCTAGAAGGTTTGTCAATGTCAAACCAGCAGCACTGAAAAAAACACCAGCTATTCTTTTCAACCATGTGCCGTCTTCCTGAAGCTGAATGAAACCAGTGAGGGTACGTCTATACTTACCTCCGGGTTCGGCGGTAAGCAATCGATCTTCTGGGATTGATTTATCGCGTATTGTCTAGACTTGATACATCGATCCCGGAAGTGCTCGCCGTCGACACCGGTACTCCTGCTCCGCGAGAGGAGTACGCGGAGTCGACGGGGGAGCCTGCCTGCCACATGTGGACCCGCAGTAAGTACCTTGTAGTTCGAACTAAGATACTTCGACTTCAGCTACGTTATTCATGTAGCTGAAGTTGCGTATCTTAGTTCGAACTGGGGGATTAGTGTGGACCAGCCCTGAGTGTGTATGTGTGAATAGAACCCAGAGAATTTATCCAAGAATGGCATCTAACTAATAGTTCCAATACCTAAAACAGTCTCGGCTAAATAATATATTGCATGGATTAGGAAGTGGTATGTTTAATTCTGGAAAATTAGGTTATTTTCACCTAACTTTTTAAAATTTACATTTTAAATTTAACAAGTTGTATAGAATGATATAATCATAGAACTGGAAGGGACCTCGAGAGGTCATCTAGTCCAGTCCCCTGCACTCAAGGCAGGACTAAGTATAATCTCAAATTGTATTGTGTTTCATGTAATCTTATGTGGGAGAGGAGGGGGAGAGATTATCTATTGTTTAAACATCTATAATACTTAGCATCAGAGAGTCTCAACAATAGTTTCAATTTAGGAGTGATTTCACTCTCTACTCCCAGTATCAACCACTTGGATGCAATATATCAAGTGACATTGAGATTAATAATGCCCTGTGACTTTTGGGGCTGATAATTAAACAAGATTGCTGCCTTTCCAAATTGTTAGATAAATCTTATAAATGTTGATTTATTTGATAGGGTTTCATCAACCTAAGAATTAATTTGGTTTTATATTAAGCCACTCTGTTTTAATTTTCTTATCTATTTTATTTTATGCTTTTTTGGATAGTGATGTGGTTTAGTTATAAATACAATTATATACTATCTAGAAATGTATATAGTTAGAAATCTGAGTAGTTTGATTATTTCTTTCCCAGATATCAGACTTGAGGAGCCTGAGGGTAAATAAAAGTCAATTATGTGTCCCATCTCATGGTGGTCCTTAGAACAGCTGCCATAATCCTCACATAACTGGTGCCAAAACCAGAGACCCTGTCAGTTTTTGAAGGAACGTTGAGTTATGTATAGGTTATCTGTTTGAATAAACAGTGTAGGTTCCAGAAGCTTTGAGGATTTGAGGTAGATACCAGCCTGTCAACCTAAAGGCTGGCCAGTTCAACATAATAAGTACTATGTCATCTTCTTCCTTGTGTTATATCCCTCAGATGGGTCTACAATTGCTCTCCCTCCAGAGTAATCTGTTCAATGCCAAATCACACCACATGCTAGCATCTTTCTTTATGACATCCCACCCTGTCTTCTTGGATCAGGCTTCTCTTTTTCCTTCAGTCTTGCTTTGTTGGGCTTCTTTGTCAGCAATGTGCTTCACATGACCAAACCATCAGAGCCTACACTCCCTCATTTTTTCATCTACGGGTATTACTTTGAGTATGTCTCTGACATACACATTTCACATGTGGTGGTTCTTGCTTACATCACTCAACCATCTCAACATTTTCATTTCTATGGAACAGATCGTTTGTCCGTGTTTCTTCTTTGTTGCCCAATGCTGAGTGCCATACATTAAAACAGGATAGACCACCATTTTATAGACTTTCCTTTTAATCTTACTAGTATCTTCCTGTCATGGACTACACCACTTCTCTCTCCGTTTGAGCCAGTTATTTATTATTCTAACTCTAATTTCACCATACATTTCCCTGGTTTCTGAAATCCAGATACTTGAAACTTTGCATTTTCAATATTGTCTGTCCATCTAGTTTCAAGGATAATTCTTCAGTGTTTGGATTATTGAAATTACAACATAATCAGTCCTCTACACCTCACAAAATGGAACTCTCCATCTTCTGCCACTCTCGCAAGTTCAGTATAAAAGTACATATGTGTGCATATGTCGGAACAAATAATAAATATGTATTATGAGAGAGATGGCATTCACTTTTAGAACATGTGGGATTCAAAACTAGTGAAGATTCTGTCAGTGAAAAACTAGAGGCACTGAAGTTCAGTCCTTTCTTTCTTGTCTTTAGTACCATTAGAGACACCTAAAACAGTTGGACCTGTTGCTTACTTCTTTCTAGCAGAAGTCATGTCAGTTTACTTGTCTATAAAATATTTTGGACATACATAATGCTATTTCTATAGCACCAATTATTTTGAAGGTTTTGAAGTACAGAGAATTTGCAGTCCTAGGTGTTACACACTATTTTAATTATAAATTAAAATAATAATATACAATAAAATTTAGATCAATTCTCTTGTGTGGCCTTTTCTATCAAGGATAGACTTAGCAGCAATGTGAGATAGCTCATGTCACTTCATCAGCAAGCATCAGCTGTAACACTTACTCCTGAGGGAATTCTGCGCTGAAAAATTACAAATTCTGTGCACAATTATTTTAAAATTCTGCAAGTTTTGAGAAAGAGCTCTGCAAGAAGAGGAAGTCCCGTCCTCTCCCACCTCCAGCTCAACCAGGACTAGCAGCTGATCCCGGTGCAGGGTAGGAGCCACCGGTTGGGGTGTCCCCAGCCCAGCAGTGATTTACCTCACCGTTGATTGCTCCAGGTGCCTGAAATGATGTACCTCCACTGCTAGGGAGGGGTGCATGACCACTCTTGCAGCTTCCTTTGCTTCCCTGTCAGAAAGTCATTTTTCTGTGGGGAAACAAAGAAATCTGTGGGGGTCATGAATTCTGCACACGTGTAGTGGTGCAGAATTCCCCCAGGAGTAAACACTGCTGGTGCTATTTCTTGAGTTGAATGGTTAGTTTAGTTTCCATGGCAATTCATTCGTTATCTTCTCTGCTGTGTAGACCAATTGTGATGTGAATGATTGCCCACTGAAATCTGGTTTGAAACCCTTAACTGAGGTTCTGGCACATTGTTAGAAAGGAAATGATTTTTCACGTTTTATTTAAACATGTATTGACTTGTAATTTTAAATTCTATTTGTGTATGTTATTAACGGACTGTCAAACTTTTTCATAGCATAGACTATATCTTAATAGAGAGATTATTATATAGAACCACCTCCCCTTCCATTCAGGACTGTGTAAAAATCCTGTATTATGTACACAGTAATTGTTTACATGGAAAATTAAATATTGTCTTAATTAATTTGTCTTTTAATAAAGTTTAGAATCTGGAGTCAGTGAAGATACCTTGGTTTCAGACAGATCCCAAGAGGTCCACAGGCCACAGTTTAAGAATAAATGATTTAAGATATTAAATAGTGTAGTTTTTTTAAATATTTAAATACATGTATTATTTGTGACTGTAGCTCTTAAAAATGTACATCCTTTGTTGGTACTACTGGTTCACCTTCTAAGGTATCTCTGAGAGATATTGAGGATATGTTCCTCTGTTTTCATAGCTCATATTTTGAGGCAATTACAAAATATTAGCATATATGTGTATATAAATTATAAATGTAAGCATTATATAAGCTCTCTTGCTGAGAAGTTGTTCCCAACTTAAAAAATCCTCCAGTAAAATAGAGCTAAAATTAAAGCGGTCTGTTTAAATCAATGTAGGAAGAAGAGGAGGAGGATGACGATAGCGATAATGAAGAAGGTGAAATGGATAGTGACGAGAAATATCAAGTGAAAGAACGCGTAGCTAAGAAGTTGAGAAAAGATAAAAATGAAAATGTTAAGCTACCATTTAAAGAAGAACCAGAAACTGAAAAGAAAACAACTAGTCGCAGGTAAGCAACATGCAATTTTTTCCTGATTTGAAATTATTTATTTACAATAAGATGTTTAACTGCTCATCTTTAGCATTGCTTTTTACTGTGTTGAAAGTTACATATCATATTTGAATTGCTGTAGTTAAAATTTTTATTCCCCCCTCCCCTAAGAATTAATTGCTTATTAACTTCAATGATAAGAACATTTATTAATTTTTCATCCTGCAGTTGAATTCAATATTTGATTTACTGCAGGAATGGTGTTAGGGTAATTATATAATTTGTATTAATTTTGTGTGGGCTTTTGTTGTTCCCATATGCAGGAATAAGGTGGCTGTGTTAAAATCATGGGATTTGTAACTTTGCTGATGTCTTTCTGATGTAATAGTTTACCATTTGATTCACCATAGAGAGTGAATTCAGCTCAGCCTTTCTCAAACTCTGGGTTGGGACCCCAAAGGGGGTCATGACCAGGTTTTAATGTGGTCTCCATGGCAGGCCCAGGGTTGGAGCCAGAGCCCCACCGTCTGGGGCCGAAACCCAAGGGCTTCAGCCTTGGGCGGCAGGGCTCAGGTTACAGGCCCTCCACCTGGGGCTGAAGCCCTTGGGCTTCCACTTCGGCCCCTCATCCGGGGCTTGAGTGGGCTCAGGCTTCAGTTCCTCCTCCTGTGGTCATGTAGTAATTTTTGTTGTGAGAGGGGGTCACAGTGCAATGAAGTTTGAGAACCGCTGAGAATGTGATGTGGTCAGAGATGATAATAGCACGTTGTAAAAAGTAGCAAGATAATCTAGGTGTATAATTAGTCCACTTCATATGTGATAATAAAATTTTACAGGTTTTTCTAGCTAAAAACTATTAAATATGAACTCTGCAAGTTTATCTTGTAACTGAAATGTTAAGCTGTAGTGATCCCTGTTGAGAAATATACGGGCTAAATATTAAAGACCTGTTAGTCACCTGTTAAAGCCTGATCCCACCAAGTAGAAATGAATATACTTCAGCTATTTCGATCTCCAGTATTAAAGATCATTAAGGCTGCGAGTCTGTCACGGAGGATGTGGGAGCTCCTCAGAGCAGCAGTGCTCTAGAAGCAGCTAAGATTTAGTCAGAGGTATTTATAATAAAAGTCATGGACAAGTCAGAGGCCTGAATTTTTGTTTATTGTCTATGACCTGTCCATGACTTTTACTAAAAATACCTGTGACTAAATCTTCGCCTTAGGGCTTGTCTTCACTACCAGGGAGATCAACGCTGCTGCAATCAATGCAGTGGGTGTTGATTTAGCAGGTCTAGTGAAGACTTGCTAAATCAATGGCAGAGCGCTCTCCAGTTGACTCCGGTATTCCAGTTCCCGAGAAGAATAAGATAAGTTGACCGGAGAGCATCTCCCGTCGATGCAGTGCAATGAAGACACCGCGGTAAGTCAACCTAAGCTATGTCGACTCCAGCTACATTATTCACATAGCTGGAGTAGCGTAACTTAGGTTGACTTACCCCAGTAGTGAAGAAAAGCCCTCAGTTATCATTTATCAGAACAAGTTATACATGTGCATGTATATGTGCTTTTAAGCATCTGGGCCTGAGATGATGTACAGGGAGATGATATTATGGGTGGATAATATCAAACTTATTAGGAATTGTTTCACAATATGTCAATAAATGTGGACTCCAACGGTTCTTGACTAAATAATTTTCTCTCCACAAGCACTAATCAGCTATCACCAGTTCAGCTTATATGTGTATTAAGTTGACTAAAATTAAATTAAGTTACTTTTTTGACAATTTTAATTTGTAAATTCCTTCGAATTTCACTGTTTTATGTGCACTTAATGTAGCTTTTGAAATGAAAGTAAAACTTACCCAACCCTGCTACCAGAAAATTGTTGATGAGTGCAGACAATAGTTGGTTTTCCTCCGTCAGGTTCAGCTTCCACACTTAACAATGGCTCTTGTGTAGCTTTGAGGAACAAAGTGTTCTCCTTTAACTCTCTCATCCTGTTCAGTCACCTATCTCAATTGCTCCAAAGGTGGTGAAGCCATTTTAAAAGTATTGTTTGTAGAACCAGCTACATCAGTGGGTGTAGTGAGCTTTCAATATAGCTATTTAAATAACTTAGATTTGAAAGTGATGTTGGCTGTCCACAGAGTAAGGTAATGCCTTGGGAAGAAGGGAACTACCAGAGCAAGAAAGAAACAGTTCAGAAGTCATTCCTTCCCACAATAGACACACATGTCACTTTTAATGGCTTTTCTTGGGCCACTAGGGCATTTTTTTCTCATAGAAGCTGGAAGTTGTATAGCTGGCAGTGGCAGCTTGGGAGAGGGTAGGAAAAACTCAAGAAATACAGATCTTTATTATACATTTGGACATTAAATTAATATGAATTTAAAACACATTCTAAATTGACAAAACAGTTCAGAATGTTTTTCTCCTATTTTTTCTTAAATAGTTATGAAATAGTAGGTTATGTTCCATGAAATAGCAAAAACAATTTTTTAAAAATGACACACAGCAAAATTACAATTATTCATTAATTTTTGTTCAGCGACAGTCAATGTGTAATAGATTTACTTAACCAAATAAATTTGCATTTTTTTTAAACTAGAACAACCCAAATTAGATCAAACAGTAGCATGCTTTTAATATCCACATCAGAGAAAGTCATCCTCCCATTAGTTGGGAAAAACCCCCACAAAACCTATAAAGAGATCATGGTTTAACTCTCAAAAGTTCATTTAAACTATAGATTTATTTTACATATTCATTTTATGTTAATTTGCTGCACATTTTCTGTAAAATTGTCCTGCAACAAAAGACTACCCAGTGAGACTGATATAAATTCTGTTAATTCACTAAAAGCAGGCCCTTCTCTCTTTTCTTTTAAATGCAGGGCTTATAGGACATATAAATAGGGTGACCAGATGTCCCGTTTTTAAAGGGACAGTCCCGTTTTTTGGGACTTTTTCTTACATAGGTGCTTATTCCTCCCCACCCCCGTCTTGTTTTTTCACAGTTGCTATCTGGTAACCCTATATATAAACAATGTCTGAAGATTTACACTCCGAACTTACTGAAGGTTGCTTTTAAAGCAGAAGTGCTGAATTCTCTTTCTTTCAGGAAAATTTGTCAAATTGACACATCTAGCTAATTCATTATTAAGCCCTCCAGCCTTATCATCTGTTCCACATTAAATAGCCATCGAAGAACTGGGAACATCAAAGGGAGTGTCTCCATTTTTCTGAAACAGCATCTCTTCAGGTATAGGGATGGCAAACGAAGGTCTTTGGAATAGATATAAGGACACTGAGAAGAATCTTTGCATCCTATGTTTGGCCCTGGAGAGGTGCTTTACAGACTGTGTGTGATTCTATCAGTTTTAAGCATTAGTGGCCATAGGTATGTGTGTACAATTGTCATCACTGTCTTGTTTACTGTACCTGTAACATTAAACTCTAGAATCTGTTGTTTTCCAGCTGATAGGAATCTGACATTCTCTGACATGGAAATTAAATGCATTCCACTGTTCGATCCAAATTCAGTTGTATTAACCTTAGGTCCCAGTGTGATGATATGGCAAGCCCATTATCGTGTTAGATGATTCTGTCTTGAAGAATGAATTCTTCATGTGAATGCATGGGAAACAAGTGATATGACAGTCTCATGAGATTTCTCCACCTAGTCTAGTCTAGTCTAGTCCAAGCTTCAGTTGTTCAGCGCGGGCAATGCTGCAGGAGTTGTCTGTCAGTAAACAGGGAGCTGAATCAGCAGTCCATGACTTCAGTGGGAGGTTCTAGTAGCATTTTAGTGGGCCAAGGAACATCTGCTCTCTATCATAGTTATTCTGTTGTACCAATAAAATAAAAACCAACAGGATCTTATAAAAGGGGATGAGGCAAAATGCCACGTTTATTGTGAATACAAAAAGAAGCACAGTAAACAAGTAATCATAAATATTCTATCCCATGTACTCACACAAAATACCAAAAGAAGCAAAGTACTAGACAGTTATATTTACTACATTCCATTCACTCACACACACATACACATATAAGTTCTGCAAAGTTGTTATAGTTACCAGCCTAGAGGTTGCTCATGCCAAGTTACTGGCCAGGTAACCTGGGCACGAGGGTGGAGCTGAACCTTTGTCAGATGTGCATCCTATGCTCCTGGAGGGTGGTTGCAGAACCAGACTCAAAGTCCTTAATCTTTAGGGTCTATTTTTATAGGAGTTTATTCCTGTGCCAGTCTATGGAGGTGGCTTCATCATGCTGTTGCTGAATCAATCAGCAGATGGCACATCCATGATGGCTCTTTTACGGCTGCCAGATGTTATCTTGTTCTTTGGTTCTCCCATCGTTGGGGCTTGTTGGGTGGATTCCAGTCTGCCCTCCGGGGGTCATCCGGTTATCTCCACTTAGCGCATTCTTCAGCTGATCGATACTGAAGTTGTAACTCTTAGGCTGGCACTCCTAACCATTCATCTTCTATTCACACACAACATCCATTCACATGCATTCCCTAGCTTTATTTCAACATATATCTCTTTTGACTTTAACCACTCTTAGGGTGTCATGAAACTGCTTAACCCCCTTACCATATAACATACATAACAAGCAAGATAAAGAACGCGAGAAGGGTGGGAGTCTCTGCGTGCTGTTCCGAGGAACAGTTGTTTCTGCAAGGTCTTATCTTTTCTGAGAGCAGACTCTCTGTCCCAGGATGTGCTGACACAATTAGCAGTTTGGCCTTGTAAACTGCTCACAGGGAGAAGAAGAAGAAAAAGGCCTTCTAATTAACACTACTTTGGGATCTCTAAACTATGGGGTGTGGTGGGGGTTACATTCAATCTATCTACCATACATCTCCTTACGGCATTAATACAGAAATCATACAGAAATCCTTTGGTATAGTCTGACAATTCATCTTATCAGAAATTTAAATATACAAGCAGAGTGTTTGAGCTTTTAAAGTAATTTATTCAGAATAACGGCTTCTAAGTAGGTAACTTTTTTTAGC